CCCCGCTTCGACACGGGATCGTTTTGAGTTGTTGCTACATACCCTGCTCTTGCTGCTGTTATCGTTATTTTGAAATTTTCTCTGCTCTTGAAAGTTTTGAACCTGTTTCGAAAGATAAAATGCGTTTTTGCTATCAATACTTTGGAGTGTCGTCGCTGTGTTTGGTGGGAGGTGGTGTTGTTGCTGCTTGTTTGACAAAGATGAAGTTGAAGTTTTACATCTCTTGCTTTGTTGGCTTGGCCGTTGCGATAGAGAGAAATTTGGTCAGGCGGCTGGCTGGCTATCATGGTAAAGAATGGATGATGATGATGTTTACGAACTTTCTACCAATTAATTGATGACAACTCACTCTGCTTCTTTCTGCACGTCAGTTTAGATATCATGATGCAAATGGGATTTGGAAGCGAAATGTGACTTGCTCTTTTCTCAACTCTGTTTGACCTTTTGTTTGATGTGTCTGTTGTGATCCATGCCGGGTAGTGCTGGTGGTATCTTCTACATTGATATCTTCATCAGCCCCGGCAGACAATCCTTTAAAGAAACATAGGTATCTGTTGGTTTTGTCTTGCAAACTGGTGCCAACGGGGCACATGGTGGGTGAAGGTAAGGGGGAGACAATATGTTCAAGGGATTACAGTTTCCTTCTCATACATTCCTCTGCTTGTCTCATTCTTGGTGCAGCTTCTGTTTCTACATCATCAACCACACTACTCACCCTAAGTATCTCGAGTGTTGTCAGAAAGGGACCGCCTTACTCACCAACGCAAATCACGGCACCACTCCCTAGAGAATATCACATCTCACCCAACCATCGAATCTGCCCAAAACAAGCAAATCATATTTCTCCCAAAATTACTTCCTATCATCTACCTAACTGCCTTGTTCCCCCATCCCCCCTTAACCCGTTCTATCTTCCCCCATGACTAAGATACTACCCATTTTACACAACCTTTTACACTCCCTCCAAATTTCCACCCACAAATCCATTTTACACAACACCTACATTTTTGAAAATGTTTCCCCTCTTTTCCCATCTTCCCCTTTCCTTCCTCGAAAAGAAAAAACTACAAGAATGGTATAAAACGAGCGAGGAGTGAAAAGCAACAAAAGAAAAGCCAGAAGAGCAGACAAAACAAAGGAAACCCATAGTAGAAACTATCACCCCCAAACACCGACCGTGCTTGCCTTGCTCCTCGAAACTGCGCCACTCTTAGCATCGGCGATAACCTCCTCGCCCAGACTTTTTCTGTCTGTTTCCCTTTCCTCACCATTAATCTTGTTTGCTGTCCCCCGAAATCCCCATTTGTCTCAGCCCAACAGAAAGCCTGCTCAATCTTGTAGTGTCAAGATGTGCAAGATACGGTGCCAACAGAGCAAATAAATTGCTTTGACATGAGAAAACCCAGCAAAATAAATACCCCATAAATCACAACACCTTCTCTGGAAACCTAATTCGGTCCCCATTGTGTTTGTGAGTGCTGCTGTTGATGATGGGGAGTATGAGCATGTCCCATCTGAGCACCCAGGTTATGATTCATCTGAGCAGAGTGGTCCACCTGAAAGGAATTGAAGCTGAGCTCGCCGGTATTGGGGTCGGTAGGGAACAGAACATTAATAGCATCCTACCAAAAAACAATGGTCAGTGATCGTGGAACACGCATCAGAGAGAACAAACACCTACCCAGTCAATATTATCCATCACGTTGATGGCCGCCCCAGGCCCAGCAATGCTTCCATGACGTTGTGGCTGACCAACAACACTTCCACCATCACTGCTATTCTCAGGACTTCCAGGGTTCATATGCGGGAAACCCCACAGAACCTCACCGTTAGAGACACCGGCAAACACCATGTTGGGCATGATCGTTGGCTGTTGCGGAGGAAACATCATGGGTGAGTGCCCGAAAGAAGGAACACGGGCCGGCATGCTCGAAGGCACCGAGTGAGCCATATTGCCATGTGGCATTGGCATATTGATGGTGGGAATGGCATTTACAGGCATCTGGGGCATGCTTGGGTCAGGCTTCAACCTATGACCTGGACCGTTAACCGTCTGGTGCATCTGTTGCTGATGTTGAGGAAACGACCCGGTAGGAACCATGGCGTGTGACTGAATAGGTGATTCTTTCACAGCCTGCTTGTAGGGAACGGCCCTGGCAATACCAGTTGGCGCGCGGACCTTTCGCATGCCGAGATAGACGCTCGTCTTGCCCATGATCTCGGTCAAGATCTTGAGACTCTTTTGATCCCGCGCCTCATTGGGGTCCAAGTTGAAGACATAGTCGAGACACCTCCAGATCCTATTACACTCCTTGTTCTGAGGCCGGTAATAAATCTCCGTGGCCAAGAGAAGGGCAATCTGATATTGCTGGTAAGCTCCAAGATACCATGACCAGTCCCGAAATCTGGGATCAGATTCGAGCTGAATCGCAGTTTCAATGATCAGAATGCCGCTCGTAATCAGAAGACCGTTCAGGCGTTCGGGCAATGGACTTGTAGCATTAGAGTGGTACGGGTGTAGCACCATGGCGTGCAACCGATAGATCAGAAGCTGCATGACAAGCTTCGCATATTTCTGAGCCGGCACCTCTTCGTTGAGGAAGCGGTTGTACTTCTCAAACATGCGCTTGCGAAAGTTTTCAATCTTGGTGAGTACGGCTGTCAGTGTTGTCTTGTGCGTTTCCAGCTTGCGTCGGTCCGCCCAGATGATGCGCATCATCTCGTTGATCTCAAATCTCATCAACACAAGCATTGTCGACGTCCACTGATCAGCCGATGGTGGGACAGAAACCATGTTCGCCGTGAGGTCGGTCTCTTCGCAGTTCAAAGGAAGCTTGGTATCATAGTCCTCGCGCCGAATGGCTGGCTTCGGTCCTTGGGCTTCGCATGTCCGTATGTCCAGGAAGCACAGCTGGTGCCAAACAAGCCGTCGCACGTGTGTTTCCAAGGGGCTAAGGCCGTAAGCCTCACCATCGCGGTGAAGCCCCATACACTCGGCCATTCTCACAGCAGCACCAACCAGCACAGAGTGTGCTCTCGATACCTCGTCTCTACACAGCGGAAGCTGTGTATTTGTGTCAGCCAACTTTGCACGCCCCACGATGGTGGTACCGACTTACCATGTACATGATAAACGCCTGCATCGTCTCGAACTTTGTTGTTCGCAGAAAGTTGGCCTTGCTCAGCGCCGTCTCGGTGGCCACCTTCATGTGAGCCACGATGGCACTTTTCGTATTTCCAAATTCATTTTGAGCCTGGACTTCATCAAGACTGACTGCAGCACTGAACCAAGCAGCAAACACCAGTGCCTGTACCGATGGACGGGGCTCCCAGTTTTGTGCGATATCGTCCCAGAAGGACTGATACAAGGCCTCGAAAGACGGCCTGTGGACACACCGCGCAATAGGGTGAACTGCTTCAAAGTAGCGGTTGACCAGGCGCTGGCCCCACTCCCGACTTCCAGGTAACAGCTGTTCCAACGGCGGCGATACACCAGCTTGGCCAAAGAAGAAGCCGCTTGTGGGTGGAAGATAAGAGTCACCCGGCTTGAGAAAATCAGGGAGCATGTCGAAGGACGCCTCTGACGTGCCGTCACCCCCTAGCATCTGGGATGCCCCATTGAACCAGGACGTAGTGGCAGAAGAGGGCGTCGTAGCTATCGGGGAACCTGCAATGCCGGCTTGAATCTAGACAATCAAACTCCATCAGAAACTTTCCTCGATATTTTGAACTCTGAATAACTCACCTCTTCCGAAATGCGTGGTCTGTTGAGTCCGCCAATTCTCTCGGTAATTCTCATTTTTCCAACTCGGATGCCCAGATCGATCAAGTCGTCGGTACCAACCCCATCGGGATAGTCATCATAGGTGAGATCAAGCGCCACCATGGAGCTGATCTGGAGGTCACGCTCCTCGTCAAAGTCATCCTCAACGTCGTCAGCCAGAATCCGTTGCTGTCGTGAACCACCACTTCTGCCTCCACCACCTCCGGTAGCCCCTCTGGCAACATCCCTCTCAAACTGCCTCTCAAGCGACCCAACCTTCTCCTTGATCTCCGTAAGCCTTATCTGACTGGCCTCGTCAAGCTTGGGTCCGAGGTAGAGACATTCTCTTGAAAATCTCACACAGTTGCTGCACGTCGCACCCTTGTTGCATTTGAGTTTTCGCCGCCGGCATTCGAGGCAGGAAGTGATCATGCGCAACCGCCTACGAATGGGCTTCGGGCCAGTAGTCGAAGACGATGTTCCATTAGGATTCTGCCCCGTTGGTGTGGATGTCCCCTCCCTACCTGTGTTTGGAGTCCCAGCTCCTTCTCCATTCGCACTTGGCAACGGCTGTTGCTGCTGTTGATGTGGCGGCGGCACCGTCGTCGAACTGCCTCTCCTAGATCCGGCATGGGCCGTGCCGTCCAAGCCAACCCCAAGATGCGATGGTGACATGTGGGCCGCATGATGCGGTGCGGGTGTGGCATAACCGCCTTGGCTTGGTTGGAATCCCACCGGGACTGTGGGATGCTGTTGATACCTGGCAGCCATGATGAATATTGGAGATCTGCGTAACCCCTGAACCAATTCCAAACTACCCCCTATTATGTTCCGATCCAGACAAATGTTCAGCCTGGATGTCTAGGTATGCGAGCCGCCGGCGAGATGTAAACACCAGAGGATCTCCGTACGATATCGAATTTGGGTGCTTCTTTTTTGCGGCACACACGGCTCGAATCCGATTTGGCAAGGTTTTGTCGTGTTGCTGATGTGGAATGAACCGGCAGAACGACACTAGCGCTAGGAGGCGTCGGGCACGCAAGGTGATTCGCAAGCCGAAGACGGTCTCAGGGAGTGTGGCGACAGCTGGCTTTCTTACTACGGGCGTAGTGAATCAAGATAAGTGACTACTGCGAGTATCGAAACTGTGAAAGGATGCCGAAATACTGCCTCACAGATAGGAAGCTGAACGAGATGATGGAGGGGACAATCGTTCCTTTGAACACCTCCCATCCACCTTCTACCCCTTTCTCTTCCTCAACCGCGGCTCTGGTCCCGTCGAGGTATGGGGTGCCGACAGACGGATACTTGAAATCTGTCTTTGTACGAGTGTTTTGAATTCTGCTTATTGACGCATGGGAGGCTGTGGATATGGCGATGTGAGATGGCGTCACTACTAATCGCGGCAGTGGAAGTGACCGACTCCCTTCTCGCTCGACAACCAGCTCGTTTCGTATATCGAATGACTTTGTCGACGACACTCCAGTCACGGGCAGTTGCTGCTTCTGCGGATGGGAGCTGGCATCAGTGAAACTGGATCAGCAGTAGGTCTGAGGCGAGGACCAAGGCCACAGGTCCAGGCAGTGTGAGAGGAGGCTCGGGAAACAAGACGAGGAAGGAGAAGTCGGGGGCCAAGCTGCTGTATCAGAGACTGCGGGGTCAACACCGGGGCTGCGGGCAGCACAATGCAGAGCAGGGAACACCGGGTAGGGTACGGTCTTGTTGAATGCGGGTTGCGGGCGGCGGGCTGCAAACTGCGGGACGTCTAGCCAAGCAAAAGGCTCATCGGACGACACGAGAGAGAGACTGTCGGCGAATCAAGACCATCAGCGGCACCTGACCAGACGAGCAGATCAGACATGCAGATAGCCAGACGAGGCAGGCAAGAGGGTCGAAACGAAGCCGAGAAGGAGGCGTCGGCGGGTGCCCGGCTGCCCGAGGGTATTTGTGTGTAGGTAAGAGGTAGGTGATGTGGTGATGTGGTCAACGGACAGAGGTGTCGTGTGCTAGAGGACAAGGAAAAGCTTATCGGATTCTCGTTTCGGTCAAACGGTGCGATCCCAGGAGTCTGGTGGGCCTCGGAGAGGAATCCAGCTCTGATAGCCTTGCTCACGCCCTTGTTTCAGCTCGGCCCTGGCAGGTAGCAGAGCAGGTCAGAAACGTGTTCAGCGTGCTTGCTTGCTTGTGTGGTGCTTCTGTTCGGTTGAGTGAACGGCTGTCACGTATGGTTTGCTTGGTTGTATGTGTGTGACTGTCCCTTGACAGCACTGGACGGCCTTAACAGCTTAGTTGCCTCGTCATAAATACCCCCCGGAACCACCTGAGCCAGGCGAACGGCGGAATGACGGAATTGTCACTGTCACTGTCACAAGCGATTTGAAAGGGGGCCACCTCAGTGGAGGGCAGGACCCTCTGGCTCCTTCCCCCGGCGGTGTCACACACCCGAACCTGGATGGGAGAGCCAGTGGCAGTGCTAGAATTGTAATTCATAGCGAAGCAAAAGAAAGATATGCCGCTACAAAACGACGGGAAAGGAAAGAGCGTTTTGAAGCTCGGAACCTGTCACCACCCACTCTCCGCCCCTTTTCTCGGGTTGACACTGGCACTGACACTACCTAGCCGGCAGAGAGAGAGCCACCTCATCCCATCTTAGATGTCCACCGTTTCACCGACATCTGCCTCCACCTCAGTCCTGGAAGTCTTTTCCCATCTCCAGTCAGCTGATGGAATGAACCTGCTGTCGGTGTGCTCTCGGTTGCGATGTGTTCCCGCTCCCGCCTACTTCATGACCTTGTTTCCTGTCCCATCGTATCATGTACTCCTAGGTGCGCAGGCGTTTCCTCGGGCCACAGCAGCAGCATCCAATGTCCCGGAAATATCATACCTCATGTCTGTGTATGTTTGCAAAACATTGGTGCCATCGAAGTAAGTGTGCGAGTGTCTAGAAGGATTTGTATGTCCTCTGCCACTCTTCCCATGTCAACAAGTCCACAAACACCACGGAACGCATAGCTTGTAGCCCGTCAACAGACAGTGGGGGAGGGGGAGGGGGGCTGTCGGGCAAGAAAGACGCCGAGCTTCCGTCGATGAACGTTGTCCGGGAATTTTGTGCATATCTTGAGCTGCTCCAGGTAGATGATTCCATCCCTACATGAGCTGGCTTCTTGGTGTCATTCCCTCAAACATTTTTCGTTCGCAGCTCTCAGCCCCATTTGAACCTTGACTCCACCTGGACTGCTCCAAGAGCAGAGGCATGTGAAGCCTCCGAGTCCTGCTTGGTGTCTGAACGGGGATGGTGTGCCCCACGCTCCCGGAGTTAGATGGGGCATAGGT